TACAGGCTGGGGAACTCCCCTCTTGTCAGCACAGAGACAGAAAAGGATCTTGGAGTCATCATTGATGCCAAGATGAACATGGGCCGGCAGTGTGGGGATGCAGTCAGGAAGACCAACTGCACCTTGTCATGCATCCACAGATGCATCTCAAGCAGGTTCAAGAAGGTGATCTTCCCCCTCTATGCAGCACTGGTCAGGCCACAGCTGGAGTACTGCGTCCAGTTCTGGGCGCCGCACTTCAGGAGGGAAGTGGACAACATGGAGAGCGTCCAGAGGAGGGCCACTCGCATGATCAGGGGGCAGCAGGGCAAGCCCTACGAGGAGAGGCTACGGGACCTGAACCTGTTCAGCCTCCACAAGAGAAGGCTGAGGGGGGATCTAGTGGCCTGTTACAAACTAGTCAGAGGGAACCAGCAGGCACTGGAGGAGTCCCTGTTCCCCCAAGCACTGCCAGGAGTGACCAGGAATAACGGTCACAAGCTGGCAGAGGGTAGATTTATGCTAGATATCAGGAGGCGCTACTTCATGGTCAGGGCGGCTAGGATCTGGAACCAACTTCCAAGAGAAGTGGTGCTGGCTTCTACCCTGGGGGTCTTTAAGAGGAGGCTAGATGTACACCTTGCTGGGGTCGTTTGACCCCAGTACTCTTTCCTGCCACGGCAGGGGGTTGGACTCGATGATCTGCTGAGGTCCCTTCCAACCCTAGAAACTATAGGTTTCCCTAATAAGATATCAAAGAAAATGCAGCTTAGATGACTTCATCCTATTTACTTCATAGTGATTTTAGACTGCAGTGTATTCACCTACTGCTTGTCAGACTTCTTGGCAGATAGTATTCCTTATCTATGCCTTGACAAGGAATACTATCTGCCTTTGTAATGGCTTTTCATCTTTAAATATCTGAATTCTCACTGTTGATTTGTAGGCAAAGAACAGCTCTGGAGAAGCACCTACAGTTCCAGCGGAAACTGGTAATGGAAGCCACTGGACTAGAACATACACAGGATATATCACGGCCATGGGTTTATTCTTATTTTCAGCTGCTCCAAATACTAGGCTTGGAGACAGCAGAAGAAAACAAATAATACTTGGATATGTGGGGGAAGAAGAGTACTTGGAAGAGCCCACTGCAATTCCTCAAATCCAGTTAGAAATTTTCTTTAGTTAATGTAACCTAAGAAGTCCAAAACAGAACCTAGTGGATCCCTGTTCCTTTACGTGGGAGATGCTCTTTTCTCTCATAAAGCCACTTTCCTACAAACAGAAAAATAAACAAACATTCAACCTTAAACAAGATGTTTCATCAGCCAGTAGAAAATCTCTGGCAGTCCAAACTTGCCATACAATTATGTGAGGCCCATATGTGGGCCTCTTTTACCCTGTGCTATTTCTTCTTTCCCACGTTCAGTAGAAGGAAGGTGTGGAAACTTTCCACATAGGAATTGTGGAAGCACAAGAACCTCAGGATTTACTTTCTGAAGGATCCCCAGCCTGCAGATTTACCTGTGCTGTTACTGATTTAAAAGTTTAAATGTTTATCCCCACCAGCACCATGCAATGCTTAAGAAGCCAGCAAAGACTCCAAATAAAGATTGGAAAGGTGGCAAGGGAGACAAGTTCTTGCTCTCACAATCACATTTGTCACATCTTCTTCTGTACTATTTTTCTTGCTACATGCTGTCAGAAAATATTACATTAAATGCAAACCAAATTGCACAATTTCAACAAATTTAGAAAAAACCTACATATATAATCATTAAGTCTTTTATGCTGTTATTGAACTAGAGACAGACTTCATTTTAATTCAAATTAAATATGCACTAATTAGTGGTGCTAGAAGCAAAATAAATGGATTTATAGGACTTGTCCTAATTTACATAATTCCTTCAACTCTGTGCATGGAGTGCCTGCAGCTGAACCTCCTCTCATTAACATGAGCTTGATGGTATACATGTAACTCAGAGTACAGGGGCAGTGGACACAAAGGTTGGCACAGATAGACATACACAAAAACCCTCTTTTTTAAAATGTCTGAGGCAAAGTTGAGAAGTGCAGCAATTACACAGAGCATTTCCAAAACATAAACAACTGGTAGAGATCTTACTTCAAGCATCCAAGAGTTGGTGTTGGATGTTGTTCTAACAGTGGTTCAGACCTTGCAAACTTTCACATGTGCTTAATTTCGCTACTTTGAGGAGATGCATTTAAGGTTAAACTTTAAGCACAAAATGATAAAAACTTACAGATCCTTTAACACCATAAGCTCTTTTGAGCACCAGCTGATATATTATTTTTGTACAGCACCTAACAACGCAATTAAATCTGAAAGATGTGGCATTTAGGTGCTACTATAGTAATTATTAATAGAACTTAACAGATGGCAGCAAAGAAAAATTAGCTTCCTTCCTTTGTGGAGCAAACTCAGTAGGCATAGCTGTCTGGTCTCATTTTCAATTCAACTAAATTATAATGAAAAAGAATATATACAACTGCAAGCTATTCCATCAGATTCACTGGCAGTTCTGCTAATACACAGGCACCATTCACATATTCTACTACGGATGCAATATGTTACAGACTTACAAGAAAAATGCGTATCTTGTACACATCAAGATAGACATTTTTGAAAAGTCAGATTAAAATTGTTTCCCCCCCACCTCTATTCCTGCCCACAGAATGCATTTACAAAGGCCAGCCCCTCTTTTCGGCTAACAGGACTACCCAAATCACATTTTCAGACGAAAAATGCTCCTATCCAGACACTAACTCCTTCCAGAGAGATTTCAAATGTCTGTATACGGTATGATATGTCATAGGACTGTTGGAAATGCAGATTTTGTCACTATATTTAAAATTCGAAGGGTAATCTCCATTAAAGTTAGTCATGGGTCTGAGCAACCTATTATTCTACAAGAAGTCTGAGTCCAGTTTCCAGGTATGTCTTCTACCTAAAGTTTCCCACTGTTACACTGTCAGTCAGAAAGTAATGCCTCAACCAATATTACTGAGAAAACACTTGATCTGAGCCTTCTTTGTACATCATCACCGAGCCCACATCTATTTTTCAACTTAGTCTCCTCCCTCAATGGCCTTTCCCTGCCCCCCCACCAGCAAATCAGGGCATGTATCCTGACATTGTCTGACAGTAAGAAAGTAATGCCTACTAATTTTTATCTCCAGAGCCAGGCACAGACAGGGAGTGAGTTTTTCTTCATTTCTTGCCTGAGGCCACAATAAATCCAGGGATCTATGAAGTTCCATCAGTTTCTGAAGGAGCTAAAATATCATATTCAAAGAACCTGCTCCAACAGTGAGGTGTTGCTTCTGCCCACTTGCCCACAGCAGTCTGCGTACAACAGATGTAATACCTTTGTCTGGATGGACTATACTACCCCATCTTTTGTACAACCCGGAGAACAAAGGACAGACTGAGGGGCAACATTTTGGAGGTGACTGAGCAATGGGATGGTGGCTACACAATAAGGACAAGGTCTTTTAAATCAGATATAGGCCCTTGTTCAGTTGTGGAAAAATGGTAATTTAAGAAGACTGCATTGAAAAACAGCAGTATGGTCAGTGATGAATCTAGTGACCTACTAAATTCACAGCAGAAGTAGAGTGCATGGCAGCTCCTTTAATCTTGTATGTTCCCCCACATGCATTTGGTCCTTTCCCCTCTTGCTGATTAATGGAGGGCCCCACCACTCCCTCCTGTTCATCAGGGAAGCTAAAACTGTGGCTTTAAACATGGCATTGTTTCTGCCTCCCTGCCAGTTAACAGCAAACAGCAGTGCCATATGGTGCCTATCAGTGACTTGAAGCAAAAACGGTGTCATATTTAAAACCACAGTTTTAGCCTTGGGGGAGCCTAAGGGAACCAGCAAGATTAAAGGAGCCACAGAGCACCCCACTTCTGCTATGAATTCAATAGGTCCCTGGCTGATGATGTAAAAAACATTCCATGCAAGCTTAAATGTTTTTCAGTAATACCTGGCTAAGAGGAAAAAAAATAGGACGCATTACTTTGACTAATCCTCATAGATGCACTACTACAGAGCAAGTAGAGATCTAAGCAGTAGGCTATCCAACAGTTCAGAGCAAGTTGAGTGGATAAATTATGGTTAGCCACCAGCATGTCTGGAACAGTCAAGTTTTTAGGAAAAAATTCTAGTCAAGAAAGGACCTTGGCATTCTCACAAGCATCCCACTGAAGCTGCAATTCCATAAACCCCTCAACAGTAAGCCCACCAGCCAAACTATTGAGAGTTTTCTATGCCATCCTTTTTCAAGTGGAAAATATAAATCACCATGTAAAACAGAAGAGAAGGGAGGAGCTGGTGAAACCAAGTATGGTGGTCTAGTAGTGATGGAGCCAGCCGGGGACTTGAGACACAAGTCTAATCCCCAGTCCTGTAACAGACTAAGTTATCCTCTCAGTGCTTCAGTTGCCCATCTACACAGGGATCTCACCACCACCCCATTTCAGAGGACTGTTATGAGGATACATTCATTAAGCAAACTGAGAGGTCTTCAGATCCCAAGGCAACGATGACTGTGTATGCGACAAATGTATCTATTTTAGGTATTCTGTAAAACAAACCCTGAATGCTCCAAGGAAATGGTATTTTGCCCCATCATGTGTAATATTGGTGGTCAATTGTTGCCAATACATACTTTTTCCTTTGTAAGAATGCTTTGGTTAAACATAACACTTAAAAAATCCCATATTCTCTGAAATTTTGTAAACAAAAATTTTAATCTTTAAAAAAAATGATTTAGTGCGACTATGTGTACAAAAGAAGTGTAATACTAGATAAGAAATGGGACACTGAAACCACAAGCATGAAAGGAAGTCCATTTATAATTTTACAATGAGCACTGTAAGAAACTTGATTCAAAACCCACTTCTAATATATGAGTATACCACTGCTAAAATACATGTTTTAAAGTGAGTTTAGAATTCTATTAATAAGTTTGTTTGTTTTTTAAATGAAATAAGTCCCATTTATTTGTGGGATATACTAAGCAGAAGCACAGCAGTGCACTTTTTCCTGTACTGCCAAGCCAACCCACCTTCCTGCATTTTAGGACCCATTCTAGTATGGGTCAGTTCAGGCTATGCCTTGTCATGATTTTGTCTAGCTGTTGAGAGTACCAACAGGAGTAACCACTATGGTGGTACCTCTTCAAATATGGATACCTGGTTAAAAATTACAGTAAGCTCACATCTCATTTTAGATGAGACGTTCACTCATCTGATAGTAATTAATTTAGGACACTACTGACTTGTGCCATGAGATGCAATGACCTAGAGGTAAGATATTAATGACGTGTTTAATAGTCCCTTCCCAAGTTACAGGATACAAGCTAACCTCTAAACTTTAGAATTTAAAATTTAACATGAAGCTGCAGTGTGTATATTTACATATGTTTTTAACATCATCAGAGCAGTATAGAAACAGTTTCAAGAAAAAGGAATGCTGATTACTGTTTAAAACAATTAGTGAAAAGTTAATACTTGGAGAGAGCAGGGAACAAAAGACTATTAGTTTACAGGGTAAATTTTTGTGGTTGTAATATTTTCTGGTTCCGGTCTTATTTACTAGACAGCCATGTTCCACTTTTTATTGTTTTCCACTTAGTTTCTTGCTCTCTTATCTCCAAATATTTGAAAAGAAAATGCAAATTGTTGCTGTTTATAAAATTGTTTTTTCTTGTTTATTTTAATGAAGCTGGTACAGACAATGTCCATTCAAAACCCATGTCCCAGGCCAAAAGGTACAAACACGAGCATCTAAAATAATACCAGTTGTCTGCTGTGTACATTCTTGCATGAATGCCTGTGTATTAGTTGCTATATGGAAGTTAGAACTTTCTTGGGCTCCTCTGTCAACGTTAAGGATTTTCAATTTTGTCTTCAGTGAAGCCATCTCTGGAATAAGGTAGATGACACCAGTTCTTACTTATCCATTTCCAAATGAACAGTCTTCTTTCCTGGGCCATCAGCACAATTTAAGGAAAACAGTGCTGAATTATGGAAACAATTTCTTCACCATTTGATTTTCTGAAAAACTTCATCTCCCACTGAAAGTTATAGTCCAGGAGTGAAACAGTCACATATCAAAACTTCAGGGCCGATACAGAAGTCATTAAGAACACTTGCACATCTGGTAGATGTTACAACCATCGTGCCCGAAACGCACGCTCCCAGTGAATATACAAATGCATGTGTGTATGCATATTTTTAAAAGGGTGGGCAGATTGGGGGCGGGGGAAAGGCAGGGCTGCAGTCGGATCACAAGAGTTCAACACAATGAGAAACAGAAATGATAGTGTATAATGAGCACGAGAATTCAAAATACCAGACTTTGCAAATAAACTCCCAGAGATGGGATGCCAGTTTCAATTCAGTGTTGAACACCACATTACAAAAGAACTATTATTTAAAAATAAAAAAGGATTAAGGGGAAAGAAAAAACAAACAGAAAGATCTAAACTGCTGAATGACCTCCTGTCTGTTCCTGATAGACTTCAATCACATCTTCCTCCTCCATCCCCAGCTGTAAGAATAAGGAGGGTGGGGGGGAAAACACAAAAATGGTTACCGGTCATATATGTCAAGGAGCTACAGACAATCTGAACCAAGGTAAGAGTGTTAAATGATTGGATGGAGGAAGAAAACATTTCCTCAAAGGACAAAAGGGTGAAAAAATATATAATACTGAATCAGTATCTCATTAGCCAAAACTAATGAGTTTATTTAGTCCTCTTTCCTAAGTCCCATGCTTCATCTTTGCGGTACATCTAGTTCAAAGTCAGCAACATTGTCTAGGGAGATCAAGTCTATTTCCAGAGCAGTAAA